ATGTGTGTGTGTGTGTGGCTTCATCTCAGCATCCTGTTCTTCTTCACATCCCTCTATTAAATGCCAGTCTACTATTGAGAGGCGTGAGCTTAGTTACTCTTCAAGAATAACTGTTTCAGCTGCTGTTCCACTGCACATAAGAAGCCATCAGCCCACTGCCTGTTCTGCTGCCTTTGAAGAAAAGTTCACTGTATCTTTTCCGGATTGCAAAGGCCACTTTTTTGAGACAGGGTTTCCCTGTTCAGCTTTGCACCTTTCCTGGAACTCACTTGGTAGCCCATGCTGGCCTTGAACTCTTGCCTCTCGAGTGCTGGGATTAAAGGCGTGCGCCACCACCGCCAGGCAGCATGTGAAATTTTACCCATGATGCTCTGTTGAAGTTACCGTGTTCCTGCAAGTGCAGGTGTCATGTGACCCACGCACAGTGTGGCTTTCATAACCTGGATGGCTCCTTCCTGATGCCACCGCCACCCACAGGAACTCTGATAGCTATTCTTTGATGGGGTCCAGGCCCCTCCCCATTCACACCCTGTCCCACAGCAATACTCAGATCCAGCTTGGAGGCTCCCGGAGGTGACCCATTTCCAGCCTCGGTTGGTGCCAGCCTGCCCGCTGGGGCCGCCTGTTGCAGTTCTCGTGGGACCACATGGATTGAGGTCACGGAGCAGATGGTAGTAACTTTCAGTTGGGAGCTGCCAGGCTACACTGGAACAAGTGACCCGGACATAAAAGCACACGCACGCATCGTCATCCCCTCTCGACATTTGGCCCATCACTCTGGGATCTGGGCCCTTGCAGTGCCTGTGTGGCTTCTTCCCAAAGGCTGGGCTGGCTTTTCATGCGTCTCAGGCTTCTAGGAGCAGGAAGGGAGTGGGTATCTCACAGGCAGAAAGTGCATCTCAGCCCTCGGTCCCTGCCCCACCCTTTAGAGAGTGCCCGCAGCATCTTGGAGTCCTCAGATCATTAGTGGATGCTATTCTTGGGGTTATCATTAATGCCATTTTATAGATGGAGAACTGGAGGAAGGGAGAGGATGGCCCAGGGACTCATAATGCCTGTGGGTCAGAAGGACTTTACGAAGCCTTCCCTAAACACAGAGGTAATGGGTGGGAACACAGGCAATGTCAAAGTCAATAAAGTTTAAAAACAACAAAGTAGCGAAAATGCTACTCTTCAAACCTTGGGCTGGCGAGATGGCTCACTGGGAAAAGGAGCTTGCCGCCCCACCAAGCCTAGCAACCTGAGTTCAGTCACAGGAACCACATAGTAGGAGAGGATAACACCTTCTAGATGTCTTCTGACTTCCACACGGGCACCATGACATTGTCATCCACAAACACACACACACACACACACACACACACACACACACACACACACACCACAGAGTCAGTAAATTTAATAATAATAATAATAATAATAATAATAATAATAATAATGCCACTCTTGAAACCCTCCCAGGCAATTATGTTTTTTTATTTTGTGACACCACAGCCCTGCCTCTTTCAAAGTTTGGTTCATGGATCTCTAAACATACAAACAAACAAACAAGCAAAAAACACCCAGAAGGAGCCTACTGACCCTGTGTGCGTACATATGTGTATTTATTTGCTCTTGACTCTATCTTCTTCGGGCCTGATTGTGCCACAGGGCACGGAGCAATTTCAATAACTACTTACTGAATGAATGAATGAGGGAGTGAGTGAGTGAATGAAGACAGAAGTCAGTAGAGTT